GCCGAGAAACTTACCAAGGTCTACGACGGACACATGGGCTTTTTCCTATCTGCAGAACATCTCTTCAGCAAAGGCAATCCCTCGGAGACTACGTACACAGTAGTGGGGGCCAACGCGGGAGACTCTGGACGAAATATAATCAGTTTGGAGACTGGCGAGGCGCTGCGCAGGTTTAGCCAGGCAGATGTAAACCGGAGACGCCTGGCTTATAGCATCAGCTATACACTGAGCTACGCCGCATCTTCGCGGAGGAGGATTAAAGAGAAGCAGGACAAGAACAGCTTCCAGACCGCGCTGTCGCTGGTGGTCTCCCGGCCACCGACGGGGAATGAGCTCGGATTAATCAACTCGACAGTCAGGTAGAATAGAACAATTTTGACGCCTATTATTGGACATATATATGCATATCAAAAATGTGTACGGAAAAGAGTTACATAATGAGTATAGGTAGTCGCAAGTAAATGAAGAATACATAGTGATCAGTCGTCTGTAGAAGCCGAATGTTTACTCAACTGAGTTGTATGAATTTTTGCTTGTAGATCTTGTGTATACTGGCCATAGGCTCTTTCATTTGATACGTAAAACACACAAATGTACGTATTATGTTCGCCACAAGGCATGCATTTTGCGCATTGTTTTGTACTTTACATGAAGGTTAGCAAACCAGCCATAAGAATTTGTTAAAATGCGACTGTGTTCAACCTTATAAGGAAGGGCTAAAATCACGATTTACGTTACTGTATTTTTAGTGCTGTGCGAGCAGATTTACCATCATTCATTAGTAAGACATAGACTCAGAATTTCACCTCCCTGGAAGGCATGCTGCTATAGGGACGCCAGCGGCCATGCACTCAGAGCCAACGGCCTCGAGTCATGCGCACAGGCAAAAGGCGGACGCCAACGACTGCTCACGCAGCGCGAGGAATTATCGACCAGCATGCACACGCGACGATCGTTCAAGCAGATTGGGGAATTATCGATTTGAAGGCATGCGTAATGACCGCTCACATAACGAGGCAAAATATCAATCCGCTGCAGACCAGAACAGTGGTCTCATGCTATTGGACCATGCTAGAAGGCCAAAGCCTCATAAATAGGCTTCATTGGAAAAGCTAAGCATCCTGCTGTCTCTGTATTGATCAGAATAAAGGCTTCTTATCAGAACCGCTCTCTTGGCCTCTTCTGCTTATTAGTCGGGTCATAACATGCTGGGCTATAACAAGAGTAAATTTTAATGTAATTTCATTTGGGAAGCCCACTAAATGGAAGCCCAGTTTTTATTGAGTTAGGGTTTGGCTTGATTTTCATGCCTCTGTGTGGATATAGTACGCAGTGGGCTTCGTGTAGTATTAAGATAGGCCAGATAAAGCTTTGGCCTCGGTCTCACCGCTTGGCTTAGTCAATTCCTGTTTCATTATTGATAGTTCATAAGTATGACATGCATCCTTTGTTTTCCGATTTGCTATAATAAGTGGGGAATATGACAATATCAGCTGACGTGAGGTTTTTTTGACCTAGCTTAAAATTCTTTGTTTCTGCTACTACTCCTGCTTTTTTTCCTGCTAGGTCCTTATACTGCTAGGTACTGGTGGCGGCAGTGTTCAGAATCAGTATCTGTATATTGAA